GTGTCCTTTTTACAGACATAGCAGCTGGTTGTATGGTCTTGTTGTCTTTCTTTCTTTTTTTCCATTTCTCTTTCTTTCTAAAGGATCTCTGCTCTTCTTTCTTCCCTGTCCCTCTGTCAGGTTCTGCATTATTGGACACATGTAAGTTTGGTATAAAAATCTATAAATAAAGCAGTTTGGGGTAATCAAGGGGGGCCTCTAACTAACAAAGCCTCCTTTGGCAAAGCAATTTTGTTCAGCATAGCATGGTACTCAGATTTCAGTTGTGCTGCCATAATGCTGAACAGGACAAGGTAAAAAAAAAGAAAAAAAAAGAAAGAATGTTTAGTCTTTTTTTGGAAATTGAAACCCTTTCCAAAGTGTGACTCCTCAGAGCTCCTCTCCATGCTGAGCTTTAGTTTCACAGCTTCCATTTTTCTCCATCTGATCTAATATCTGTCTGTAGTTATGCTGCTATGAGCATGTTTCAGGCTAGTCTTCAGTCAGACTTCACAGACCTCTACAGAGCGTTTTCCTGCTGGCGTACCTGTGCTGCAGAAGGCCCCGGCGTAGGGCGTTTGGCTGCAGTCGCAGTGGAAGCCGCTAGCCCTCTCCAGGCAGCGCGCCTGGTGCCGGCACAGCCCCCCGTAGCTGCTGCAGTGGCCGGGGCAGCCCGCCCGGACCCCCGGCGTGACCCGGGCCCGCTGCTCCAGGTCCAGCGGGGCGCCGTTCAGCTGCAGGGAGCGGATGCAGCCCCGGAAGCCCTTCTGCCGGGACGCCGTGCCCCCTGAAAGACAAAGGAAAAACTCCAGCTGAACACACCATGTTCTCATGTCCGCCTGGGCTGAAATGGAAAAATCCCCAGCCTGTAAGTTCCTCCTATGTAAAAAAAAATAGCAGAAAAATCAGTTTATTTGTCTGTGGTTCTCCGCCCTGAAAGAAACAGTTCGGCTTCTTTAACCCTGTAATGCAAAATGTGTCATATTTGATACGTACGGTTTCTGAAATGTTTTGCGTCTGACACCTTTTGCATAATTTAATGGTAAAAACTTTGCTCAAAATCCGGGTTTCTTCACCAGGGGGACGCCGTTCTGCCTGGTGAAGAAACAGTTCGAGGGGGGTCTTCAAGAGCTTCTGGGAAATATATTCAAGCACAAACCCTTTCAGGGTTATTTAGATCTGTAAAATTACTGCATTTTCCAATTAAAAGGTTAACGATGACAGATTTAGACTTAATTTAAAGCTTTTCTTGAGCCATTTGGAGTTGAGCCATGGTTGAATGTGGAAAACAGACTTTTAAAGAATCCAGGATCTCAAGATTGTTACAAGAATAAAGACTTTTTCATCTCTTTTTTCCAGAAGCTGCTTCTAGACAGACACATTTTGGCCTA